ATCCCCACCCCTGCTGTAAATAATAATAAAAACCCTTGATTTATAACTTAACATCTCTGTCTCCTATTGATCTGAGTATATTATAAAGAATAGCCAGTTAATTGAAGCATTATAGCACAGGCCTTTGTCAGATGGTATATGCTGTTTTTTTTCTGCTTCGAATAGTTCTCTCTTTTTTCCCCATACCTGTGTTTGCATCACTGATTTTTAAGCCTACACCAACCCTGAATTAAACCTGCTTCCTTGTCTCTGTTACTGCTCACTTGTCCAGGTGTCGGATGTGTGCAGTGACGTTCTTCAGCAAGTCAGACATGCAGATCCACTCCAAGTCCCACACGGAGGCCAAGCCCCACAAGTGCCCCCACTGCTCCAAGTCGTTTGCCAACTCCAGCTACCTGTCCCAGCACATCCGCATCCACAGTGGGGCCAAGCCCTACTCCTGCACCTACTGCCAGAAAACATTCAGGCAGCTCAGTCACCTCCAGCAGCACACACGGTACTGGACTGAGTGTGCGCGCGCGCGCGTGCGTGCGTGCGTGCGTGCGTGCGTGCGTGCGTGCGTGCGTGCGTGCGTGCGTGCGTGCGTGTGTGTGTGTGTGTGTGCGTGCACGTGCGTGCCTGCTTTGCATGTGGTCTCTGTTGTTAAAGAATGTGTCAGTGTGGTCCTGTGTGTGGGGACTGATGAAGGAAAGGGTGGTGGGTTGGGAATGTGCCAGGGTCTTTTGGGAGAGTGTTGCCAGCGTAAAAAGCTCTACGCCTCAAAACGAGCAACACGTGTACCAGCTCAAATGTAATAGCGGTTATTAGCTTGTTTTTTTACTTTATTTATCAATTAAGATCAATTCCTTTCTGGTAAGTGGTAATTGTCAGGACAGGAAGCCAGCTTCGTCATTAATTGACATTAATTGCTTTGATCACTTACAAGTCAAATTTTATTTTATTTATTTATTTAACAGGGACAGTGCACATTAATTAACATTGCTGTAAATGTGCCAGAGTTAGCCAAGTTTTCGTCTGTAGTCCCTGGACAGATTTGAAAAGTCAGCCTAAAACACATTTCATTTGTGTCATTGCATAATACATACTGGGTGGATGCATGCTACACTGTTCTCTGGAGGAGGTTAACTTACAGTGGTGGAATAAGTACTCTATTATTTATTATTTCTGTAAAAGTAGCAATACTACAGTGTTAACTTAATATATATAATATAAATACTTTAAGTACCAAAAAGGAAAGTACTCATCATGCACAAGGACCTATTCAAGGACAATATATTTTTTTATTATGCTGCTTATAGTTATTGATGCATTACTTTGTTCATCACTTGTTGCACTGGGTAAAAATGGGGTTTATTACAAATACTTTATATATACTGGGTAACTTAACCTATAATATTTTATAATAATGTATTAGTTGATTTTATTTTGTAATTAAAATCTAAATCTGAAAAGTAGCTAGTAACTAAATATGTACAATAATTAAAAGTATTTGAGTAAAACTTACAACATTTGCCTCAAAAAGGGAGGAACCTTTTTACTGAAGTACAGTACTTGAATTGATGTACCGGTACTTAGTTACATTTCACCACTGCGAGTTACTATTAAAAACATATCAGTTTGGCTTGGTAGCATATGAATGCTGCCTTTTCTTAGCTATTATATTCTATCTGGATCCACCTTTGCTTTTACAATAATAATAAAAACAAATCCCTCTTTTGTTTGAGGCACCTTATAAAGACCTTTCCCTGTCATTTATGCCCCTCGTAAAGTTAAAACATCCCAATTAAAAAAAGGCAGTGAAAGTGCAAAGTAACTGTAAGGAGATTAAAGGCACTGATTATGTTTATTAAATGACAAGATAGAAAGAAAGATAGATATAGAAAGTCAGTCTATTTAAATAACAAGTGCATATTCTTTATTTGAAACAAAACACGTTCCTTATTACCTTTTTCATTCTTTTAATGGACTGCAGACAGCCTATATGTTCCACACACCCTCGTGATCATATTTACAAAGCAGATAAAGCTGCTAACTCAACATTTAGATGGATTTGACTTGTATTACATGTTACTACCTGTGACCATGTAAGTGATGAAAGCACCCGCTCCCGTTCATGCCGCCATGACTCATGATTTTGACATTACCTGCCTTGTATTTTTATTTCCCTTATTGCGACGTTCTGGCTGTGTGGGTTTCAGGCCATTTTATTTTACATTTTAAACGGGAAGATGCGCTCCACTGGCCTGCCACACATCTTGCATTTGGCAAACATGATATACTGTACACACACTCAAAGCAGAGCACACCAACGGGGAGAGAGAGAGAGAGAGAGAGAGAGAGAGAGAGAGAGAGAGAGAGAGAGAGAGAGAGAGAGAGAGAGAGAGAGAGAGAGAGGAAAGCGTGACTGTGCCTGCTGTATGTTTTTGTTCTGTGTTTTCACAACTCAGACACAGCACAAAGAGCACACTTTCTAATGATCTATGATCCACGCAATCGATATCACAATCTGTTCACTTTACAGCATGATTTGGTTAAACGTGAGCTTTGGTCATGCTGTAGCTAAAGAAATCTCTCGCTTTTCTCTCTCTCTTTCTCTTCCTCACCCCTCCAACCCTGGTGTCCCGTGTTAGAAACCACACCGAGTCCAAGCCCCACAAGTGCCCCCACTGCTCCAAGTCGTTTGCCAACTCCAGCTACCTGTCCCAGCACATCCGCATCCACACCGGGGCCAAGCCCTACTCCTGCTCCTACTGCCAGAAAACATTCAGGCAGCTCAGTCACCTCCAGCAGCACACACGGTACTGGGGGGGGGGGGGGGGGTTCAATGTCTGCTTGTGTATTTATGTGTGCATTTATGGGAGCAGGTGCGCAGAGAGTTGTGGCATTGTGGTTGTGTGCATCTTTTTGGCCTTCTTTTGTGTGTTTCGCAGCATCTTATAGGGGAGGTATGCCTTGTTTTCAGGCGGTTTTGTCACAGAATAGTTGTTTTAATAAATAAAAGCATAGTAAGACATTAAGAGTGGCTTAAAAAGGTCAACGATCGGCTAAAGCAACGACCTGTCCTATGGTTATGTTCTTTTTCGGGTGACTTTAGAATGCATATTTTTTATAAATGCCACAATTGCATGTCTGAAGATATGTTCTGCCACTTGTTGCCTGTTTGAGTCGTAAGGCCGGGTAGAGTGTTATAGAATAACATTGATGGGGTACAAATAACCACAAAAGTTCTCAAATCCTTAGACATAATCATTTATAAAGCCACTCACCAAAAGAAGCTACCTTTTTGGGCAGTACGGAAAGGCAAGAGGTTCACTCTTACCTCCTTTTGTAAAGTGCAGTGATAAAGTATTAGTTGTTTTGCAATCAACTAATGGTTTGCTTTACTGTTTTTTCAGGATTCACACCGGTGACCGACCGTACAAGTGTAACCATCCAGGCTGTGAAAAAGCTTTCACTCAGTTGTCCAACCTACAGGTAAATTAAATCACAGGTTTGATCCACGCTACTGATCTGGTCAAATGTCCCCTTGTAAGACCTTTTCTGTCTCTTTATTGGCTCCAAAAAGTTGAATGTCAACTTTATAT